TGCGGATAGACAATGTATTTGCCTCATAGTTCAGTCGTTAGTGTTACTCATGACATTTCAAAGGACATAACAGATACTAGGATTCTCACTGAATTCAAACACCACCTATATCTTTGTTTCCCTAAATATGATTTAGAAAATGGAATTAAATATCTCTTGGGAGTTGAAGAAAGGACTTACTGAGTAGAGTGTTTGTTCTGCACATGTAAGGCTCTGAATTCAAGTCCCCAGAACCCAAGCCAAAAAATAAAAACAAAAATTCAGGTATGGTTGCATGAATCTGTAAGCTCAGCACAGATGGTGAAGACAGGCTGATCCCAAGAGCTCACTAGCCAACAGCTAGCTCAAAGATAAACATACGGGTCAGTGAGAGGCCAGGTCTCAGTGGAAGAGTCAGTAAGAAAAGAACCATCAGGAAAGATAAGTCCTATTCTGTCCTAGACATGCACCCATAGGGACACAGGTCTTCAATCTCATGCACATACACATGCATGCACATACGGGCACACACATGCACATACACACAATTGTAATTAACTTTTAAAATAGAATTGCATTATTTTCTTTTATATCCTCATACTCATGCATGCACAAAATAAATCAATAATCATGATTTAAAAAACGTTTAAGAATGAAACTGCTGTGTTTTCTTTTCCAGATGTTCTGTTTGTTGTTTCTTTTGTAGAGGTCACCCTGTTCTTCTAAGCCTTGTTCTTTCCTAAAGGTTTGACATTTTATACACACCAGCTTTACACCTTCCCCCTAACTACATTGCTGCTCTAGGTTCTCACGCTGCTATCATACTTGCTACTTAGTGGATTCTGCTGTTAGCTCACTCTCTCCAAGTTAACTGTTGCTGTGTGCTTGGTCACTGGCTATAGGGAGCCTATTGTTAGCAGCCTTGCTCTTGGATGAATCTCCTAAGCAGTCAACATGGAGAGGACACTTCCTTCTTCATCCTTTAGCGATTTACTGTACTAAGACCCCAAGACTTGAAGATCCCTTTGCCAACTAGGCACACAAAAAGTAAAAGCTCGCAAGGCATGTAGGCTCTTAAATTGAAATTCTCAAGGGGACTTGTCTTCCTGACATTTACCCTAACTCTGCTGGTGGCCATTGTTTGCTCTGACCCTGTGCTCGTGGGCATCACTTGCCCTGACTCTGTTCTTGGGGGCATCATTTGCCCTGACTCTGTTCTTGGGGGCATCATTTGCCCTGATTCTGCTGGTGGCATTATTTTTTTAGCCTAACTGCTTAGTATTATGAGAGTATTGGTTTCATTCAAGACATTTCTCAATTTTAGTTCTCTGCCTCATTTGCAGCTAAGACCTTTCCCACACTGCGTTCTTTCTAGCATCTTTATTCTTGACACATAGCAATCACTTATAATTTTGAGCAATTTAAATAATGTTATTGTTTTGTTTCATGGTACTTTTGATCAAATCCAGGACTTTAGGGATGTAGGTGAGCATCTTACCCCAGCCGCCAAATTACTAATGATTTCAAATACATTATTATGATGCACTGGCTACCACAGGGTATTTTTCACATTTATTTTTGGGAGGTTCATGTACTCCACAGCACACATAAAGAAGTCAGAGGACATCTTTCCACAGGCAGTTCTCCCCTCTCACAACATAGATCCTGGAGCTCTGACTCAGTAGGCAGCAAGTGCCCTTACCCACTGAGCCTCTATACCCTGTGCTACAATAAGTTTTTATTGTTGTTTTAGACTTACTTTATTGGAATGCCTATAGCTTTATTTGTTGTACCTTGTCATTTTTCACAATCTGAACAGTAATAGGTAGCAATTCAATAGTTTATAACTCGGTGATTAATGGAACTAAACCGACTAATCTCTACTGCTTTGCAAGCCCTTAACATATGTGCAGATGCCTGAGATTCTCCCTCAGGTTCAGAATCACAGACTAGAGAAACTTTTTTAATAAAAGAATTCTTGGCTTCTTGTCAGGACATGGGGCTTTCTTGTTATTCATCACTGAAAATAGATTACAATAGAATATACCATCTTCTTTCTAACTGAAAGTTAGAAAGTAAGGTGCCATGGATCTTTCTTTCAAAAGTGCCATCTTTAAGATAATAACCCTTCACTTACCAAGGTTCAAGAATCGCAATTGTCTTCCACAAGATAATTTACCACAATCTTCAGCAGGAAAGACTCCAAAACTATGTGTATAAACTATGTGGAATTTTACAGGGAAATCTCAGTGATTTGAGAAAATCTTGCACCTAAAGTGTACCAGTGATTGTCACAATTATACCAGTACACATTCCACTCTGGGGAAAAAAAAAAACTCCCATCCCAAGTTTAAAAGTCCATGAAGTGTTCATTTGTACCCTGTACCAAGGGAAGGCAATTTTTTAAAGCATTTTCTCCTGAATCACTTTTATTCAACTGTAAAATCTAAAAACTTTGTCAGAGAAGACACTGGATGAAAAATAACCCTGACCTCTATGGGAAATGATTTAAGTTCGAGGAGAAAATCTTTAATTCTGGAGTGTGGTTTACTCTCAACATGACTCAGCGAGTGTCACCCATCAGGACCTGAGCCCATCACCAAATTTCTCTGCATCTGTTTCTTACCTATTCTCATGTAGTCTGAGATTCCTGCACCAAAGGAGAAAACACTTTTGCTCTAAGTAGTGTATGTCTAGAGTTCTCCAAATATATAATCGTTGAATACATAAGTTTTTATAAATTACAATACATAGTAGTAACTCAAAGGCCTTCATGATCTAGACAGCAAATCGCATTTGAAGGCCTTATGAAAAGTGTTCAAATAACTTGGAGTTCTTACTTTATGTAATCTCACTGCTAATAATATAACCACAAATTTTAAAAGCAAATCACTTTCCTTAAGACAAAGAAATCAATTATAATAGATTGTAGAATAAGAACATTTAGTTAATGAGATCATCTAGTTTTTTTGAAGATGCAGATAGTTATCAAATCACTTAATTTAGCCAATAGGAAATGTTACTAAATAGCATTAGAGCTTGGTGACAGTCAAGGCAAAGTCTCCGTATGCAACCTAGACTGGCCTCAAACGTGAAGCCTTGAAGTAGATAAGATACATGGGCGTCACCTACCTGCCGTGGCTTCAAAGCAAATTTACAAACAGCTATGTTCAAAATGCTAGCATTTTACATCATTACTTTTTCTTGCCGTTTATCTTCTTGCTTTTAGTGTGTACTCTGTCAACAAGCCAACACAACATCTCCACAAACTTAGAAATGCAGGCTTTCCAGCTGCACCTAAGACCCAGGGGACTGAAGTCTTAGTAAAACCTCTGGGTGGCATATGCCCATCAAACTGTGGTCTGGGTCTGCCATAGGAGACAGAGCTTTTCTGGGCTGGGAGACGGGCCTACTGCACAGGCATGAGAACCCTAGTTCAGACCCCAGCACCCAGGTAAGGACTTGGTTCAGGGGCGTATATCTGCCAGTCTAAGTAAAAAGGGTGAACCCCAGGGTCAGTGAGATACCCTGTCCCCAAAAAGTGATGTGCAGAACTGTAAAGGAGGACATTCCGTGTCAATCCCTGGCCTCTACACACCAACCGCGGGCAAGGGCGCGTGTGCACGCGCACACACACACACGAGCACACAGACATATACTGCCCCTGCACACACAGACGGAGGGAGGCAAAGGGAGAGAGCAGGGGGAGAGAGAGATTTAAAATTGGGCAGCAAATATAGCATTGACAAAAATGTCCTAAAATTAGCTGTTGACGATGATTACAAAACATAATAACTTCTCCATGTGCAATGCTGCACTGTACAGCCTGAGAGGCGAATTTTACATTGTCCGAATTGTATCTTCATTTTTCAGACATGGAAAGAGGGTGGGTTATTACAGATGCTTTCGGCCTGCACAGCGCAGATGAATGGAACCACTTCCAACTTTTTTTTCCATCCTGGAGAAAAATGTAGATGCCCCATTTCCTGAGGCTCAGTTCTCACCAGGAAAGCAAACCACAGAAGGCCCTGGTCACTGCCCGAAAACCAATCTGTCTGTCATGAGGGTCCCTCAGTCCCCGCTGAAGGAACAGAACCCTCCCTCCACTAGAAGGGGCCACCAAGCTGAGAAAGGCTTCCCAGAAAACAGCCTTCGATGACTGTGACAGGCCAGGAAACCTGGGTACTCAGTCAAGCAAAGATTAATCAAAGGTGCAAAGAGCCTGGAATACTATCTGCCTCCTGCACATGCGGTCAAAGTCCGGGGGGGGGGGGGGGGGGGAAGGGGGGGTGGAGACTTTGTTTCTTTATTTCTCCACTCTCTTGTCTGCCTTCTGTCCCTTACCACCACCACTGTCACCAAACCTGCAATTTGGGTTTTGTTGTTGGTTGCTGTTTTTAAACTGGCTTTTAAGAGACCACTAGTAAGGAGCTCATCCTTATTATTCTTCTGACTCCTAACAGGCTCACTGTTGTCCTGCCAAGGATACAAAAACCTAAACGGGTCTATTTGCCGGTCTTAATCTCAACTCCAAGGTAAGAAAGAAAAAGTCTGGCCTCAGAACTTCGCTACTTGCTTTTTGCCTAAGTAACCACCGGAAGCAAGACCAGAGGATAAGGCACCGCTGGAGAGTGCACTAGCGAGTTCCTTCCGCAAAGTGCATTCAAAGACCCTGAGTGTTCAGTTCATCTCTCCCACAAAGACTGAATTGCTGGAGCAAAGCTGGAACCCGTTCTGGTTGTAGATCGTGCCTGTTGACCAGTGCTACAGGGTGGCAGGGACTGTAAAACCTGACCAAACATAGGGGCCCCTGTGGTGACCTGGCATCCCACCACAGGTGGTGGGGTGGAAACCTGGCGGGCTCACTCTGAGGGTGAGCGCACCCCTTAAGTGCCATCAGCAGCCAGCCCAGTCCCACAGGAGCGCACGTCCCTGGCTGTCTGGATGTCTGGAGAGACATCGCTGGTGGGACACGCGCGGTACCCACTTGTGCAGCCCATGCCGCCCGCACCCGCACTTACAAGCTGGGGTAGTAGCCATAGGGTGGCAGCGGGAGCTGCGGGCAGCCGTTGTCTCCCAGCTCGTCCATCAGCAGATAGTCCTGGCTCTCGTTGCGCCGCGCACCGGCTCCAGGGGCTACCAGCGGAGACCCGCCCCTCCGGGCCACGAACCCGGGGCTCTGGCTCATGGCACAGCGCCCAGCCGGTCTGCACCGGGCTCCCGCAGATGGGAACCTGGGGAGAAGGGGCCGCGTCACCTACCGAACTGGCCCAGAGCAAGGCGCTGCCCGGGAAAGGAAGATGAGGAAAGGGATGCAGAAGCCGGGCTGGCTGGGCTCTGCCAGTGGCTTCCCGGCCCGCCAGGGTAGAAGTCACTTCTTAAGGGTTTGGGGGCAACCGTCAAGGGAACCTTGACCTGAGAGCATCTGGACAGCGCCAACAGGCGGCCCGGGCTCCCAGGCAGAGGGCACAGGCGGGGCCTCTGTGGCAGCCGCCAGGGAGAGCAGTGAAGAGTTACTATGTCAACCGCGACTCTCCCTCCAGCCCTCTCCTCCCGCCTTCTTCCCCCCACATCCTCCGTCACGATCCCCACCTTTAAAGGGATCGAAAGAACGGTCCAGAAATCCGCGGACCCCTGTCTGGAAGCCACAGCTAGCAGGGCCAGAATAAACCTAAACTAGGCGGAGCCAGGAGCACTCTTTATTTGGGGTTGGGAGGGCTAACAACTCCCAAAGTAGGTTTGTTAAGTAACGCCAAGGGAGGGCTTTCTAGGAAGTTTCTTTTAAGTAACACTCAAAAGACAGGCTCCTCTCCTTCTTCCACACCGCCTTCATTTTCTTGGGATGTTTTTCCCGTTCCCAATCTCCGAAGTAATTTGGACTCTGCTTTGAAATGAAGAATCGTCTGCGTTCTCACCGCCAAATGTTCTGAGAAAATCAGCAACAAAATGGGCATTTTCGGGTGGTGCCTGTTTGTTTGAGGGAAAAGCCTCCCTCCGTAATTCGAGTGCCAGAATTGTTGCTCTGACTGGTGTGTTTTCTTCAACGTCCTAGCTGCTTTTAAGGCTTGTTTTAAAACTCTGATTAATTGGAATACATTTGACAAGTTAGAACCTTCTGAACAGGAACGTATAGGAATTCTCTCAGTAGTTAAAGTGCTGGAGGCAAAAGTGTGGGAACATGAACTGGGGTCTCCATAGTGAAGGACATTTCTAACTCCAGCGCTGGGAAGGAATAAAAGGGTCACTGAGGCTCGCTGGTCCGCTAATCTAACCAAAACACAAGCTCCAGGCTCAGTGATGTCTCAAAACATCAGATAAAGAGTTCGCAAAGACAATTTAACTGACCTCTGGCATTCACATGGCATCCAGATCCTCCCTGTGCCTGAACACAGAGAGAGAGAGAGAGACAGAGAGAGAGAGAGAGANAGAGAGAGAGACAGAGAGACAGAGAGAGACAGAGACAGAGAGACAGAGAGAGACAGAGAGACAGAGACAGAGAGACAGAGAGACAGAGAGAGACAGAGAGAGAGACAGAGAGACAGAGAGAGACAGAGAGACAGAGACAGAGAGACAGAGACAGAGAGACAGACAGAGAGAGAGATCAGTATTTATAGTAGTTTATTTAAGAGAAGTCAATTAAGAATCCATTCATTCATTCATCATACTTAATGAATGCCAAGTGTATACCAGCCAACATTTCAGGATCCAGGGGCTCTCATGAAGAAAAATGGTGATTAAATAAGTAAAGTGTGATGCTCACACTTCTAAAGGCTGCCCTTGGAAGTCTGAGGCAAAAGATTGGAAAGGGTTGAAGACTAACCTTGACTGTGTATGAGTTCTAAGCCAGCTTGGGTTATAGAGTCAGACTCTTCCTCAAATATATATAAATTAAAAAGCAACTAAAATTTACAGAAATTATTTAGGTTGATGTGTTTGTCCTGAGAAAATGATTACAAGATGGCTCTCTGAGAAGCTGTTAATTGATTTGAAACACACATGGCTGGGAGGTAGCCATGTTAACAGTAGAGATGCTTTGTATCTGAATTGAAGGAAGAGTGGGCAATAAGATGAGTGTTGGGAATCATGGCAATGCCAATCACATTGAAAGGCAGAGGGGCCAAAAGCGGTTATAAATCAATAAAATACTGACTTTGTCAAACACTAAGAGGAGTGGAGAAAAAGCACCTAGCTTTGTATTTGGCAAATCTCCTGTCAATATAAAATGACCCCCCTAGAAGCCTCATGTGTTAGAAGTCTTGGTATTTTGTGTGGGAGAAACAATTCAGTAGTTAAGAGCACTTGCTGTTCTCTGGAGGACCAACATTCAGCTCCCAGGACCCATATCAGGCATCTCTCAACAGCCTTGAACTCTAGTCCCAGGGAATTCAATGCCTTCTTCTGCCTTCTGTGGGTACTGTACAAGCATGCATGTATACCACACACACACACAAATAAAATTTTTTCAAGACTTGATAATGCCGTGTTCAGAGGTGAGGTTTGGGGATATAATTGAATCATGAGGCTCTGACCTTGTGTGGTGGTGGTGTGTGTGTGTGTGTGTGTCTTTGTGTGTGTGTATGTGTGTGTGTCCAAGAGCACACACAAACTTGAAATTTGAGAGGGTTACTGGTAGGTGTTGGGAAATTCAGGTGGAGTGGAGCCGGAAGAAGTGACGTGTAAAAAGCATGCCGCTGAGGGTGTATCTTGTACCGCACTGCTTTCTCTCCCTGCTCTCCTCTTTCTTCTTCATGGCCATCGTGAGGCAAGGCAGCCTGTTTAGCACTATGAGTTGAGAAACATAGAGCCAAGTGAGCATGGCCTGAAACCTCTGAGATGGGAGCTAAAGTGAGTCTTGGTTCTCTTCAGTTAGCCTCTCTGGTGTTTTGCTACAGTGGGAGATAGCTGATCAGCTATCACAGTGATGTGGGTTTCCTCTCTGTATGCTAGGAATATGGTTTATTACCATTGGTTATTAAAGAAGCTGTTTCGTCCAATGGCCTAGCAGAGTAAAGCCAGACAAGAAATTCAAACCGAGATATAGAAAGAGAGTAGGCAGATGAGTGGGGTATGAAAGAAAAGAAGGTCCTGACCCACAAAAATCGCATCCACCCTGAGGAACTAACCTAAAGCAGGTCATTCTGATTTGAGAGCTTCCTGTTAAACTCTCAATATGTGAAACTGATTTAAAACTGTAACTGGTTTTTATATGATTAATATGCCCAACCAAGAGAATCTGCTTGAAGTTTCTTGGCTTGTGGTAATTCTAAATTGTTCTGTTGCTGTAATAAATGCAGTGACCAGAATAGACTTGGGGAGGGGAGATATGGGACTTCCACTTCCACAGCGGTCCATCACTGAGGGGATTTAGGCAGGAACCTGGAGGCAGGAACTAAACCAGAGGCGGAGGAGGAGTGCTGCTTACGGCTTGCTTTTTGTGGCTTGCTCAGCTTGCTTTATCATATAGCCTGGGACCACCTGCCCAGGAAAGTACCACCCACAGAGGACTGTGCCCTCCTACGTTGGTCACTAATTAAGAAAATGTCCCCTACAGACATGCCCAATCTGATGGAGAACATTCCTCACCTGAAGTTCCCTCTGCCCAAATGACTCTAGTTTGTGTCAAATTGAAAAAACCTAGCAACATGGTGATCATTGTTATCGATAAGTACTCAATAGCTTTGGAACGTAAATAAATTAATAAACAAATGTCTCATTAAACAATGTCCAGGTAATCTCATTGGAACACCAATATGATAAACAATAGAATTGGTAATGCAAACCTACTCCACTCAACTCAGACTCTGTAAACTGAAGCAAAGTTAGAAAAAGCCAAAGTTGGTTGTTGAAGTGTTAGGATTTGCTTTGAAAGAATTCCCAGGGAATTTGTTTTGTTGTTGCAGTTAGTTGAGCTGTTTGTGCCTTTTCTCAACACTGTTTTTCATTTACACATAACAACCTTCACACTGAACAAAGTTATTAAATTTATACTGTGACATTAATTTATAATTTGGTAGAGCAAAATATCTTTTTTTTCCTCTTAGTTGAAATATAGTCAACACTACACCAATATAAGGGCTTTTCTGTAGTAGGGGAACAGGGGTATATAAATGAATCAAGGGTTCTGAGAATTTTATACAATGAAATAGAAGATCATGTGATGTTTGAGTATGAAATGTCCCCATAGGCTTATATGTTGGCATCTTTGCGATGATCTGATGGGCTTTGGGGGACATGGTTGCATGCTAGAGCCCCTGACTTACTAAGTAGACTAATTCTTCCGTGGATACAAACTGTGATGGCATTGTTGGGGAAAGAGTGAAAAGTCAAAGAAGAAGCCTGGTTGAAAGAAGCAGGGCACTGTGTTTGGGGAGTTGTATATCCTCCAGTCTCACTCTGGTTTGCCTGTCTTTTAGTCTGCCATGGGACAAGCAGTCTCTGTCACATGCTTTCATGACCATGATGTTCTGCTTTATAACAGCATGGAAGCAACAGAACCAACCATGACAAGTAGATTGAAACCAATACTATGGATGGAAATAAAACTTTCTTCTGATTTAGTTGTTTGAGTTGTTCATCCCAGCAACACAAAGTCTAACATAGACAAATAGGAAGAACAAAGCCCTAAGTTTATGTGTTCCTCTGTGGGGGCTGGGGGTTTAGATAGCTCAGAAAGGCCACCAATTCACAATACCCCTGCCACAGTCTTTTTAGTTCTGGGAACAGAGCTGCACACCAGGGCATATGACTTAGCCTCACTAAGCTGGGTGATATCAGATATCATTTGATGGCTCTGCATCATGGATTGTTAAACTGTGGAGTTGTGATTGCTGAGGGCAACTCTGTCTCTAATGTCCCGTATTCTATGTTCAATATGTAGGAGTCTTGTTATGGTTAATCCAGTGAAAAACAGGAGAGAAATCCTTCCCCACCAAATGCTTCTGAATAGTGTATGAAATATTGAGCAGATCTGGAAAAAAGAAGAAAGTTAGAACAGAAACATCTCAAGAAGCAAAAATATTGGATGAGAGAACTATAGTTGGACATTTTAATTCAAGCCTGTAGTGTGTTTTGGTTGTATATGTTGAAACATGAGGCTCAATATGAGTCATATGTCTTGAGAAGAAACTTTGCCTCTGTACACATATCTGTCCTATGTGACTGATTTTACAAGAATTGATATTACAGGACTGGAGAATGCTTGCTGCTCTTCCAGAGAGTCAAGGTTGGTTCCCAGAATCCACAAGGATTGTTGTGGAATGGGAGCTGCTTGTTCATCCCGGTGGCCCAGCTAGCTTAGCCTTGAAATAACCACACAGAAATTGTATTAATTAAATCACTGTTTGGCCCATTTGCTCTAGCCTCTTATTGGTTAAGTCTCATATCTTGATTTAACCCATTTCTATATCTGTATATTGCCATGTAGCTGTGGCTTACCAGCAAAGATTCAGCATGTCTGACTCTGGCTGTGGCTCCATAGCATCTCCTGACTCTGCTTTCTTTCTCCCAGAATTCAGTTCTGCCTTCTCCACCTACCTAAGTTCTGTCCTATTAGGCCAAGGCAGTTTCTTCATTCATTAACCAATACAAGCAACACACAGAGGGAACTCCCACATCAAAGGATCATCTCAGAAACACTGTAACTCCAGCTCCAAGAT